TACGACATGTATTTAATGACAATGTCTACAATTGTGGCCAAAAAATTTAAAATCATTCAATGAAAATTCTACGGGATCACTCCCATGAGAAGAGATAATATCATTTTGTTGCTTGGGATGTGGTTAAATATCCAGTCCAACACGGTGATTGATTTTAACAAGGTGGCCTTGGGTTGAGGTTGCTGGCTGATGTTAACAAGGTTCTTCAAGGAAAATGGTTACAAAGATTTATGAAGGAGCAAGATAGCTTTTGCAGAAGAGTGATAATACCAAATTTGGCACAGACGGAAAAGGAAGGTTCACAAGGTTTCTTCTCGACCTCATGGCACTGAAATGTGGAAGAAATTTTGTATGAGGGGAGAGGCATTACAGAATTAAATTGAGTGGAGGGTGGGATCTTGTGCAAGGGTAACTTCGTTGCACGATGATTGGCTGGATTGCAGGGTGCTAAAGCCCCAATTCCTCCATATCTATGTTATCGCTTCTCACGAAGAGGTCCTGATACAGGAATCTTTTCGTGTTTCACCAGGTAACGGAGTGTTGTTTGTAAAGGTTACAAGGAATCATAATGATTGGGAGATCAATGAGGATAATACTCTAATTGCCCTTCCGAGATGTATCTCTAATGGTGCCAGGGATTATCCCATTTGGAGGCTCAAAGTTAGGAGGATTTTCTCCCTTCTACTACAACTTGGCAAAGAGAGAGGAGATATGCACTGATTTTCCTTCTAACCAGATTTAGAAGTTAACACTTCGCTTAGAGTGACTTTTTTTGCTTGGGAGGCAGCTAAAGAGTGCATTTTAACTTTGGACAAGTTGAGTAGAAGGGGCAGAATTCTGGTAATAGTTACTTCTTGTGCAAGAGGGATGCGGAATCGTGCAACCATATTCTCTTGTGGGTACATTTGTTACAGATCGTGGACTCTGCTTACAATCTTTTAGGTATTAATTGGGTGATGGTTGAAACCATAAGGGATGAGATTTGGGCATGGAAAAAGATCAGTAGAGTGGAGAACTACACAAGCCCCAGTCTTTTGTCTGTGTTTTGGCTGGTTTCGGAAGAAAATAATAAGAGAGGTTTCAAGGATGTAGAAGCTAATTTTGATAGACTTACAGACACGTAGTTAGAGAATCTTTCTTTTATAATGGTCATCCTCTTTATTCGTATGAGGATCTTGGGGAACTTATTGATATTTTACTAGACATGTAAATACTTATATACCCCCTTGGTGCCTGTGAATAAATACCATTTTTTTTATTTTTGCAAAAACTGGTTAGAACAATATGGTATCAACTCTAACTTTTTTCAGGCCTCTAGAGCTGGGGGTTTTCCCCTATCACTATTGCTTTCTAGTCTCCGTTTTCTGATTGGGGTAGGATCCTACGTATGTTTCTTCTTTTTCTTTCATCAGTTCAATATCCTATTTTAGTTTTACTGTTTGCGCATGGTTTGCTTGCTGTTTTATATGTGTTTGTTCGTTTGTGCAGGGATTTCAAAAGCTTATTATGGTCACCGGCGTTTATGTTTTCACTGCATAATACCATATGGCTTTCACTCCTCAGCAGAACAAAGAAGGGATTCAGGATAGTAGTATGGATGAAATTCTGGATTTAACAGAGATCAATGCTGGAGAAAGAGACCAGACACCTGCCTTCTGTTTGGCTGGACATGCGCATAGAGAATGTCCTGTTAATGCTAATGTGGTTATGGACATGACAAGAAGGTTACGGAAACCGAAGGAAACAATGGTGGCCCAACTATGGACATGTTTCCTGTTTAAGTTTTCCAGTGAACACGACATGCAGAGGATCTCAACAGGAGCACCTTGGTTGTTTGATAGAGATGTTGTCTATCTCACCAGGATTCAAGGTTAGTTGGAACGGGGAATAGCAAGGTGTTTGTTAGGCCTCATGGGGTGGGTCTTTGGAAGGGTATTTGCATGGGAAGGGCGCAGTTTATGGATGGAAGGTACAAAAGTGTTGAAGCAATGGGAGACTGAAGTGGCTGGTAACATCTCTCAGAAAATTGGCAGAAAAGCTAGAGCTTTATAGATACAGGAGTCAGGGCAATCTGAGGAGATGCTTGATCAGATTAGAGGAGTGGAGGCTACTTTGGAGGATCTCTATAAACAAGAAGAGCTTTTATGGGCTCGAAGATCTAGAATTGATTGGTTGGAATGCGGAGATAGGAAAACTCACTTTTTTCATACCAAAGCCTCTCGGGGAGAAAATGTAACATATATGGAGAATTAGGAAACAAGAAGAGGGCTGGGAAATGGATTTACGGAGAATGGTAGAAGTCTTTCACTCTCATTATAGCTCGGTTTATGGAAGGAGACAATTGGTAATATGGAGTTAGTCCTAATTTGTGGAAGTCCGGGCCACAAAAGTAATGAATACACAACTTCAGGAATCATACACAGGAAAGGGTGTCCTTCATGCACTTCAAGAAATGGATCCTACAAAAGTGTCAGGCCCAGATGTTATCTCCCCTGCCTTTAACCAAAAAAAATTCTGGTCAGTTGTCAAAAATAAGGTGATTATTTTCGTGTTAGGTGTTTTGAATTATAGAATGCCCACTACTTAGATGAATCATTCATTTGTTTCTTTAATAGTCTTCAAGCACTCCATCTGACTTTTAGCCGATTAGTTTATGTGATGTTGTTATGAAACTAACTACAAAATGTATTGCTAGCTGAATATGCTCCTGTCTGATATAGTCCATGAATCTCAACCTGCATTCATCTCGGGTCATTTGGTTCCTGATAATGCCCTCATTATCTCTGGAGTTGTTTCATTTCACGAAAACTGGCTCAAACTCTAGAAAATGATTGTTTTCCCTGATATTAGATGTCATTAAAGCTTGTACCATGTAGCTTAGTCTTATCTTCAGTATATCATGTTAAAACTAGGTTTTCATCCTTCCTTTGCATCTTTGGTCATGGAATGTATGTCAACTGCGTCCTACTCTATTCTGGTGAGTAGCCATCCTACTGATATTATTTGTCTTAAGAGGAGAATCCGGCAAGGGAACCCCCTTTCGCCTTACCTATTTATCTTGTGTGCAGAATGCTTTTCAACAATGCTTCATAAGGCAAAGAGGGATGGATCTATCAATGCAATTAAAATTTACCATGATGCTCCTCTATCTCCCAACTCTTGTTTGCAGATGACAATGTTATTTTTGGTAGAGCTCAAGATAACAACGTGCAGACTCTGAAAGACATTCTCAAGGGACATGCTAAGGCATCTATCAAGCAATTAATATGGTGAAGTCCTCAATATCCTTTTCAAAAGGGGCGGGGAGAAGGACCAGGCAACATCTGAAAGTCAAATCAGGAGTCACACTTGTTAATTCCCACAGCCAATATTTGGCGTTACCAACAATGGCAGGAAGATCATTAAAGACCACATTAATTTTTTGATAGAGAGGATGGCGAAATGTATCCAAAGCTAGCCAATAAAAAACGCTCTAGAGTGGGTCAGGAGGTAATGCTTAAGGTGGTGGCCCCAGCAATACCCACTTATATCATTAATCATTCCCCAAAGTGTCTGCAAACAGATGTAAAGCCTTGTCTCAAATTTCTGGTGAAGCCAAGGAGATGGAGACATAAAAATTCACTAGGTGAAATGAGCAACTCCATGTGAAAGCAAGGAGAAGGGTGATCCGGAATTTAGGGATTTCATGAGTCTTAATCTTATGATGCTGGCCAAACAAACATGGGCACTCATACAATATCCTGATACTTCGGTGGCCAAACTGTTAAAGGTGCGCTACTTCAAGTGAGGGGAACATCCTTAATGCAACAGTTGGGTATCACCCAAACTATACATGAAGAAGTGTATTAACTAGAATGGACTTTTGAGTCTTGGACTTTGATGGCAAATTGGGAATAGTCTTTCACTCAATATATGGCAAGTAGTTACCATCATAGGGGGGCCATAAACTATGGCCTTTGGTGTCGTAAATCAAGGGCAGATAAAACCTAGATATTATACTAGACTTCTTAGATATTAAAGTTTGAAATTCTAATGTTGAACAGGTTCCTTCTGCAAATTTGTTGAATTCTGGTTATCTTTCTCTATGATACAAAACAAATTAGAGTTAATTTGCTTACTTAGCATATGGGGATAAAATCTACATATCATACTAAACTTCTTAAATATCTATTTAAGAAATTTTAAGAATCATATTTAAAGGTTTGATTGCATCATACAGCTAGAAAAAATAAGAAAATTTTCAATGAACTTTTGATTTGGTAGTTAGCATTTTATTAAAAGTAGGATATATATATTTATAGTGCTTCTTTAATTACTTTTCCAAATAGGATTAAACTAAAAACTACTAGTGTTGATAAGAATTAAAAAACTATACTTAAAAAGAATAATAACATACTCCTAAATAGTACAACAGTTTTATACTTAAAAGAATTATAATATCTAATATATTTATGAAATCTAAATGCATTGCATCCTACATTATTCTCTCCAAGGTAAAGAAAACTCATCCACGAATTTTGACGAGAATAATCTCAAACCTCAATCTTTGCGCTTCCTAGTAATTTAATGAACTTTGCTTTTGTCTTGCTCTTCAATAGTAAAAATAATGGAAACACATAATTGAGTAGTAATGTGAAACCCTGTAAGCAGAATGAAATTAACATATTGATAAATTATGGTTTCATTTTCATCCTTGAGTTAAATATCATGAGACCCAACCATTGGCTTAAGTTCCTCCTTATAGGCTTTTATAGACCTCTCTTTGGGTGGATGTTGGTCATGTAACACCCAACAACTTTTTTCTTTTATTATTTTATTTTTATTTTATTTTAATTTAATTTAGAATTTTGTTAATTTTATTTTATTTAATAATTAATTTATAAAATTTTAATTTAATTTAATTTAATAGAAATAAAAATAATAATAATAATAAAATTGGGTAAAATTATTTTTGGGATTTAATTGAAATTGATTTTGGAAAAAATGATGAAAATTTGAATTCTGAAGGTGTTTTTGAAAAGAAAATCGAAAACCAGGGGTCAAAACGCAATTTAAAAAAATGGCGTCACGTCAGCAGCCGCGTCAGCAGCCCCGGCCAACCAGGACACGCCACGCGGCAGGGACGTTGACGCGGGAAGCCACGCGGGACGGAGACACGTGGGTGATCCACGTACTCGCGATCGGACGGCCCAGATCCATTCTCACGCGCACGAACGGCCCAGATCTCACGCATGCGGACAATCCAGATTTGATCACGCACGGACGGTGCAGATCGCATCGCGATGGACGGCCCAGATCTCACGTGTGCGGACAGTCCAGATTTGATCACGCACGGACGGCGCAGATCGCATCACGATGGACGGCCTAGATTTATTTTCAATTTAATAGCGATCGAACGGCCTATATTAAATCATGATGAACAGCTCAGATTAAAAAGAGAAGGTTATAAATAATCGCATCCACATCCAACCCCAAACCCTAGCCGCCAGAACCCTCACCGGAGAAGACGACCCAGCCACTGGAGGAACCGGCCGCCGCCACCCGCCACCGCACCGGAGGATTTTTCAGCCGCCAAACGAGGTAAAATTTCTCCCATTGGCTCATTTTTCGATGCTGAACCTCCCTGTGGCCAAATCGAAGCCAAACCACCAGCCGATTGGCCGGAAAACACCGCCTAAGTCCAGCGGCGCCGCCGCGGGTTTCCTCGATTTTTGTCTCCGATGAGGCCCTTCCCGGTTCCCGTTCGATATAATTTTTATACCACTATGACCACCGTCCTTTTCTCTACAGGATGACCGGAGCAAAACACCAAATCGCAACTTGTGCCGGAGGAGCCGCCGTATCCGAAAACTTCGCCGCCGGTAAGTCTCGGTTTTCTGAAATTTTTTGGCCCACCGAGGGCCCTAGGGGTGTTTTATCACAAGAAACAATGCAAGTTTGGCCGAATTCGGCCGAAAACAGCCGGAAACGGCCAACCCGAGGCGGATCGCCGTCGTAGGCGGTGGTGCCATCGCCGGAGCACGGTGGAGCCGCCGTGCCGAAATTCCGAAATTAGCCAAAAGGGCCCTGAATCTGATTTGGTATTTTTTTGGGGACATGTGCAGGTACCGGAAGTGTGTTTCAGTTTCCAGAAAAAAAAATTCAGGGAATCTAGGGACTGCCCGTAGGCGCAGTGAGAACCCGATTTCAAACTCCGAAACAAATAAGGATCTCTCACCCTATTTCCTATCACGGTATTAAAGTTTAATAAATGATAAAAAGGTCTTTTATGAATTAATAGATATGTATAATTAATTAAGATTGCTAATGGAGCCCGAATCTGACGTATTTGTCGATCTGTTTTTGTTTGATGTATTTTACAGTTTAAATGCAGTATGGTGCTTGATGTGTTTATTCTATGGTTTCGTATGCAATGAATCACGGTTTCATTTATTACGATTTGAATTATTGTGAACCCGATGTTGTATTGCCTTATTTAGTGTCCATTACTGGTTTACGTGTTTATGTTTGATTGAAAAATTGAGATTAAGAAAAATGGAAAAAGGTATGTGAATTGATAAATGGATAATGCCGACAGCCTAACTAGATATCCTGAGAGATGGTGGACGGACCGGCTCCATAGGGAACCCTACCGGGAACGTGGTCTCTCATATCGAACGGGGTATGGAAACTTTATGTGTTTTGACGCCCATACTGGACGGAGTATGGGAACGGCCCCTAAAATTAAGTTATTAATGTGAATGGTTCACATGTAGCGGGGACCCCCTATGGATCCCCATGGATACTAGTAGGCTGATAAAAGAGGAAATTTATTGCCTGATTATTGAAATACAAAAGCATTATATGTGTTATGTTACAGAGTGTGCGTGATCTTATGATATTTATGATGTAATTGTTTTCATAAATTGTTTTCATGAATCTCACCGAGATAGATGAACAGTAAAGGGTTTTATTATTAATAAATGAATTTGTTATAAATTATGCTTCATTGGTCATTTTTGTTTTCTACCAACCTTTACTTCTGTGACAGTGAGATAGTGTGATGTCTTTACTGGGCTAATGTAGCTCATTCCTTACTTAACCATTTCAGATCAGGAGAACTTGGTTCCCGAGCCCATTCTGCAGGAAGACGGCGAGTAGAAACCAAAAAATTTATTAGTTTTCCTTATAGCATTCATTCATAATATTTCCTTTAAGTTAGTTTATTTTTTCATACGTTTAATTCGTTTTGGTTATTGTGTAAGGGATGTTAATCATAATCTATTTTATTTCGCTTCCGCACTTAAAACAAATATATACATTTCCTTTTAATTTCCGAAGCCGTTACAAGTCAAGTTCTTAAGACTAGGTTTAGGAAGAAGGAAGAATAGAGATTTTTGAGAGAGAGGAAGAATCAGAGTGTAACGACCCTGGAAATCCAAAAAAAAGAAATATATAATAATTTAAGTGTAGAAGTAAAATAAAAAATTAAAATTTACATCCACTACACAATAACTTAAAAGTACTAAACAAACATTATGGAATGAATTCTATGAAAAAAACACGAGAAATAAGAAAAGTAATGGAAAATAGAAATTATCTAGCATCTACTCGCAATTTTCCTGTGGATCAGGTTCTGAAACCAGGTCTTCTTGATCTGAAATGGTTAAATAAAGGATGAGCTACACTAACCCAATAAGAATATCACACTATATCACCCGCACAGAAGCAAATGTTGGTATAAAATCAAAACAACTAATGGAGTACTAATTTAGCAAATTCGTTTATCAATCATAAAATCATTTACTGTTCACTTACCATAGTGAAATTTATTAAAACAATCTATACAGACAATAATACCATACAGATCATAACTTTATAAACAATCAGTAACATAGAACATATCATAAATTCATATCTATTCACAATAAACCAAATCATAACCGTTTCTCATTTCACCAGCCTACTAGTATCCATGGAGGTTCATAGAGATGTCTCCGCTACACGTAAACATTTTTCTTTAACAATCTCAATTACAAGGCCGTCTCCATACCCTGTCCGGTATGAGGCCAAGACATTAAACCTCAATACCCCGTCCGGTATGAGGGTGAAACGGGCCGTCCCCATACCCTATTCGGTATAAGACAACGTTCACGGTAGAGTTCCCCATGTATCTAATCCGTCCACCATCTCCCATAATATCTAATAAGGTTGTCATTCCATCTGTTTATTTGATCACACCCCTTTCCTGTTTTCCTTTAGTCTCCATTACCAAATCAAACATAATCACATAAACAAATAAACATGCATTCGGTAATGCAATCATGTCTCAAATCCCAAATCAAACAATGGTCAGGTAAGGCAGTAATACATGCATTTAAATCATAAAATAAATAAATTAGATACTATCATATTTTTAAACTATAAAATAAATCAACAGAGAATAATATCCGGTTCGGACTCCATTAACAATCCGTAATTAGTCATGCACATCTATTTAATCTGTACAAAATACCATATTATTATTTATTTAAACTTCAATTCTATGATAGGAAATAGGGTGAGGGATTCTTACTCGATTTTGACGCCGAAAAGCTAAACGATTTATTGCGCCTACGGGCGGTCTCTGGGTTCCCTAAATTTTTCTTCAGGAATTGAAACGCACTTATAATACCTACAAATGTTTCAAATAAACTCAAATCAGTCCCAGGCCCTGCTCAGCCAATTTCGGAAATCCGACACGGCGGCTCCGCCGTGCTCCGGCGATGGCGCCGCCGCCCGTGGCGATAGTCTGCCTCAGCTCAGCCGTTTTTGGCCAAATTTGACCGATTTTGCATCGATTCTTGCGAGCACACACGCTAAAGGGCCTCAATGGGCCGAAAAAATACAAAAATCCGAAACTCACCGGCGGCGGAGCTCTCCGGTGCGGCGGCTCCTCTGACTCACGTTACGGTTGGGTATTTCGCGTCGGTCAACCTGTAAAGAAGAAAATGATGATCATAACGGTAGAAAAATTACGCGAAACGGGAATCGAGAAGGGTCTCATCGAAAGTAGTTTGTGGAATTCTCTGCGGCGGTGCCGCCGGGCTTCGTTGGTGTTTTCCGGCCAATTGGCCAGTTCTTTCACTCCGATTTTGCCATTGGTGGGTTTAAAATTGAATTTCGTGCAAAAAAAAAAAAATTTACCTTTTTTGACGGTCGGCTCCCCAGCGGCTGGGTTGTCTTCTCCGGCGAGGGGTTCTGGCGGCTAGGGTTAGGGTTTGGGTGCGGATAGGGTTATTTATACCCATCCGCTTTTGATATAGGTCATCCATCGCGTTCGATGTGAACCGTTCGATCGCGATTAAATAGGAAGTGAATCTGCGCCGTTTATCGCGATCCAATCTGAGCCGTCCGTGCGCGCAGGAATGGACCTTAGCCGCTTGATCGCACGCAAGCGGATCGCCCACGTGGCTCCCCCCACGTCAGCGCCTCTGCAACTTGGCGCGTCCTAGTTGATCGGAGCTGCTGACTGGGCGTCTGACGTGGTGTAATTTTTTTAAATTACGTTTTGACCCCCGGTTTCCGATTTTTCTTTCAAAAATACTTTCCGAACTCAATTTTTCACCCTTTTTTCTTAAAATTGTTTTCAATTTAATCCTTGATAAATTTTACCCCTTTTTATTAAATTAAATTAAATTAAATTAAATAATTAATTAATTATATTTATTAAAAAAAATGAAAAAAAAAATTGGTGGGTGTTACACAGAGTATAGAAAAACAAAGAAGAGAGACAGAGTAGAGACTGAGATGGAAAAGAGGATGTTTGAGAGAAATAGAAAACTTTCTTCATTTGAATCAGCATAACATAACCCTACTAGGTTAAACACTAACATGCCAAGGTTGCAAGGGGAAAGGAGAAAATAGGATAAATAACTTCCGAAAAAGTACAAATTAATGGCATTCAAGCTACGTTGTTGGGTAAATTCCAGATATCAATGGCCACTTGTAACAGAAAATTAAAAAAAAAAAACAAGGATAAAATTCCTAATAAATGGCACCATTCAAGTCATGACATCTCCCACTTGTTGCAAATGAACCTTGTCCTCAAAGTTTAGCTGTGGAAATTAAAGCACATCCAATAAACCACCGAACACGAACCTACTCCACAGGTTTCTTCCAATATTAAATGGTCTTTTTTCTACATTATGACCTCTAGTACTAGAATATGATTGATTACCAGAAGTTGACTGTAAATTTTGGGTGAATCACCTTCATCTTGAGCATTGAGAACATGGAAAACTGGGACAATCATTAAGTGATTGGGCAATTTTTGCTTGTAGGTCACTAGTGCTACTCTTTTCTCCACTTCAAATGGACCATAAAACTTTGGTGTTAACCTACAGCCAATAACTGAGTATTGGTGATGAGGTTCCAGTTTGAGCAGGGCGAGCTCCTCGTCCTTGAACTCCCTCTCCTTCCTTTTGGCATCGATAAACTATTGGTCTAACTCTGGGATTCCAATATTTGTTACTTCAATAATCTGCTCATTTCCTGTCTTCCTCCCAGCCACTCGTCCAGGTCTAATTAGGGTATTTTCCATTCCTTGATGTGAGGAGGTTGGTAGCCATATATGGCAGAAACCTAGAACGGCAAGAACTGTATACCACCATTCCTCCAGTCCCAACCATTGATTCCAAAAGTGAGGCTTTACGAATATCATGCAACATAGACAATTCCCTAACCACTGGTTTATCCTCCCTGTTTGGTAGATTGAAGGCGATATGCAGTCCTAAGTGACTTTTAGACAAAATGCTCGTTACTTAAAAATGCTAGTACTAGTATTCTCTAGTTCTTCCCTGCACATTCCTCAAATAAGATTAAACTAAGAACTAATAATCCTAATAAAAATAGAAAAACTATATGTTTTAGAAAAATATCAAGAAGCTGCTAAAATAGTAATAATAGAGTTCTAAATAATTTATTCTTCCATATTTTAAACAGTTATAATTTATTAATCCATTTACTAAATCTAGACCTAATAAACTCTGCATCCTGATTCCTGCCAAATTTTGCACGGGCGTGAGAGAAGTATATAGATACGAGACATATAATAAATTGACTTGTCTAGTTTAAGCCTTTAAAAATTTACTATTTAAATCGAAGTTTTCAAATTACAAAATTAAACATCAAGGTAAGAAAAGCAGAATGTCCAAATTCCACCAAGAATTTGAACAATGAAGCCATATAAAGGACAATTCATCATTTCTCATTCAAACCAATTCACTACGTCAGGCAACAAAACAACTCACCTACCATATAATCTGAACCTAAGAGAATTCTAATTCACTGAAAAGGAAAAAAGACAAATCACCAAATGGAAAAACTTACCTCACCAAATTTGCGTCCACAAGCCTCCTTGTTCCCACAGAAGACCCAAGTATCACACAAGCACGGCCCATCACTGCCGCTACACATATCCTTACATGCCTTGCAACACTCCATGGAAGAATTGAACTTGAAGTCGGATCCCCACTTGACAGCAGGTCCCCATAGCTCCAAATTATCAATCCCTCTACAACATTCCCCACTATTCGCATTAAACAAGTCATCATTGCCACTGCCCTCAATCAATGACAAGGAATCAACGCCTGAACTTGCAGAGCTCGCATTGGGTCTGATAATTTTGGAGATCACAGCGTATACCAGAGCAAATGATACGAGACCCAACAAAAGAAGAAGAAGAAATGTGAAACGAGCGGGTAGTAGGTCGTTTTGCCTGCGACCCATTTGAAGATTTGGAATGAAGATAACAGAAACACCGAAAGGAACTTGTGAGACTGGATTTTTGGGAATCGTTGACCGTGAAAACAGAGAGGAGAATCGGAGAAAGAATAGTCATGGAGAAATATGGGGATTATAATAATAGGGAAAACGAAATCAAAGAAATTTGTAACTCGATGACTAGTGGAATTTGTTCTACAGGAAATTGGATGGGAAAATTCATTTGCTTGGGACCAATTTTTTCTTCTAATTATACTTCTGTTTGTTAGAAATTAGGCAAAATTAGGGTTGACGTGTGGAAATGATAGAAGAAGAAAAATTTTTCTTCTCCTTTTTCAGAACATTATTGAAGAATTACCTTTGTGCGCTTTTTTTCTATTTTTAAATTATATTTTTACTCTCTTAAGTTAATGAAGTTATTTTAAAAAAAAAATAGTTTTTAACTTTTCAAATACAAAAAATTAAAAATATCACTTTTGAATTCTATCTCGGAGTCCAAATAATTTGTTAAATCAACATCTTCAACCACATCATGTAAGACTTACACATTTATGAGTTATTAAATTTTTTTTAAAAAAAATTGCTATTTGTTTAGAGAACTAATTATATATAATATAGTGTCTGTAAAAAAGATTGGTGTAGTAATCTTATTTCAAATATATTATAATTATTGTTATCGGTAATGATAAAAGTTATTTTCATTAGTTTTTATTATTGCGTTATTTATATATAAATGTCCAATTTTATTAAATTAATAAATACTTAAAAGTTAAACAAATAAATCATCATCATATTAGTAATGCAATTATGTAACGGCCCCGGAAATTTAGAATGAAATATGTGTATTAAAAATGTCAAATGCGGAAGCGTAATAAAAATTTTGATTAACATCCCTTACACAAAAACTAAAAACGTGCTTAAAATATAAAAGAACAAACTAACTAAAAGGGATACTCGAAAATAAGAACTATAAATATAACTACGGAGTCTTTAGGCGTCCCTTTCGCCGTCTTCCTCCGGAACGGGCTCGAAAACAATGTCTTTCTGATCTGAAATGGTTAAATAAGGAATGAGCTACACCAGCCCAGTAAAGACATCACATTATCTCACCGCCACGGAGGTAAAGGTGGGTAGAAAACACAAAGAGACCAATGGAGCATAATTTATAATAAACTCGTTTATTAACATAAAAAACTTTTACTGTCCACTTACCTCGGTGAGATTCATGAAAATAACTTATGAAAATAATAATATTATCATCATCATGAAATCATATGAACTGTATAACAGAATACTATATGAAAATAATAACCTTATAATATCATGAAATCATACACACTTTATAACATAACATATATCACACTTTTACATTTCAATCATTAAGAAACAGATTTCCTCATTTACCAGCCTACTAGTATCCATGGGGATCCATAGGGGTCCCGCTACCCGTGAACCCTTAACATTTATAACCTGATTCCAGAGCCGTCCCCATACCCCGTCCGGTATAGGCACCAAAACCATGAATCTCAATACCCCGTCCGGTATGGGCGCCAAAACACAGAAGGTCTCCATACCTCGTCCGGTATGAGAGACCACATTCCCGGTAGGGTTCCCTATGGACCCGGTCCGTCCACCATTTCCTAGGATATCTAGTCAGGCTGTCCATATTATCCATTTATCAATTCACGTAACCTTTTATTCCTTTTTTCCTCAGTCACCATCATCAAATCATACACAAACATGCAAACCAGTAGTTTATGTCAAACAAGACAATACATAACATCGGGTTCTCAGTCATTCAACCCATAATCAATAAAACAGTGATATATGCACATGAAACCATGAAATGAAAACATCAGACATCATACTGTATTTAAAACTGTAAAATAGAACAAACAACAATTGACCGACAAATACACCAGACTCGCGCTCCATTAGCGACTTTAAACAATTTCACACATCTATTGATTCATGAAATATCGTTTTATCATTTATTGAACTTTAATACCGTGATAGGAAATAGGGTGAGGGGTCCTTACTTGTTTCGGAGTCTGAATACGGTTCTACAGTGCGCCTACAAGCTGTCCCTAATTTTTCCTAAATTTTTTCCAGGGAACTGAAACACACTACTAGTACTTGCACGTGTCCCAAAAAATCCCAAATTAGACCTAGGGCCCCTTTCGGCCAATATTGCAATTCCGGCACGGCGGCTCTGCCGTGCTCTGGCGACTTGTGGCGGCGATTTGCCTCGGGTTGACCATTTTCGGTTGAATTCGGCCACGCTTGCATCGGTCCTTGCGATAGAACAACCCTAGGGCCCTCGGTGGGCCGAAAAACTGAAACTTACCGGCAGCTCCTCCGGCGTGAGTCGCGTTTTGATGTTTGGCTTCGATCAACCTGTAGAGAAAAGAACGGTGATCACAGTGGTATAAAATTTGCATCAAACGAAGGCCGGGAAGGGCCTCATCGGAGGCAAAAATTGAGGAGGGGCGCGGTGGCGTCGCTGGGTTTCAGCTGGGTTTTCCGGCCGTTTGGCCGGTGGTTTGGCTCC